ACCAGCCACATCAATCACGTTGAAAAAGAAACTCATCGGCCACCGATTGATTTTTCGTTTACAAGAATAAGTTTGAACCATTTGATCCATACGATCAACACCACCTTTTGTCTCGTTGTAATACAAAATCATTCGGGCTTCTTGTGTGTTTCTTCACTGACTGTCGTTTCGTGGTCCATTGATGAAAGAAGAATCACCGCTTTATTCTTCTTCGGCACATAGCTCACTAGTGTGAGCAGCCCATCAAAGCAGAATATCGATGAGTTTTCCGAGGAATTTTGGGTTTGTTTTTCCGAATTGTCCCGACTAAAGTAGTTTGAACTCCAAGTGAATCTTCGGCAAGTTCAGCGCTTGTAAAGTAATTATCCGCAGTGACGCTTCGACCTTTGTTGATCCAGAGTGTGACTAATCTTTTGACTAGCTTTTTGACGCCATTCTTGTTCGCGAGGGTGGCCGTTCCAGATTGACGTCCAACATAAAGTTCACCTTTCAACGGATATGAAGTGTTTGAGTCACAACACCAGAATACCTTTATTCCATATTTCGCAGGCTTATTGCGCATGTACTGACGAAATCTACAGCGGCCACGAGTAGCTATAAGTTATTCACCGACTGTCATTGAACCAGCTGGAATGTAGTATATCTGTAGTCGTGCTAAAAACATTGCCCAAAATTCACTAAGTAGAGCCAGCTTGTCTACTTCCATTCGTGTAGCTGCATTGTCGAATCGGCAGAATTTTAGTAGACTATCCATGCGATTCTTTGACATTGTCGCTCGAAATATTGATCGGCCACTATTCATGGACCATAATTCGTTGAGATTCTCGTTTTGAATTCGTTGTCAGGATTCGGTTCATTTCATGCTTCAGCAGCCTTCCTTGCTCTTCTATTAGTTTCTGTGACGATGATAGGTATCATTTCTTCTGTAAATAAGAGTTGAAAAGCATCTTTCACTGTTTGTATCCTTGCTGCTGAGGGTCCTACACCATGTAACTGTCGCAGAATATTTGCTTGTGGTATTTTTCGTTTCGGAGGTTCGGATGTACTCCACCGTCGACCAGATTTTGACAAAAATAATTCCGACTCTGATCGCTGATCGAGCTTCGGACGACGTCTTGGCGGTTCTTGATCACTGTCGCTTTCCACCGAACTGACATCAGTTTCTTCTTGCCAATCATCTTCATCCGTTGCACCGGTTTCAGAGTCCTCCGAGCCGTCTTCCAGTCCGTCCGGCAGTTCTGAATTTTCCTCATGTGTTATCGTCGCCAGAATTATCGTCGAGAACTGAACGATCTTCATCTGAGCTTTCGTCGTAATAATCATTAAAGCTTCTCTTTGAACCCATTGCTCGAATTCTCAACTTGTTCAATGCAATAAGGATTATGTTGAGAATTGTTATGTTGATGTTGAAAATGTGTAAGACTAGTTTGGATTCAAATTGAAAATTATTCGGCAATTTGAATTGCCCTTATATAGTTCAACTATACATTCTATAATGATAGGGAATATTCCAAAACATTCTAATATAATGAATGACACAAAGGTCAAGTTCAATTCAATTTCAGAAACTTATAACATAAGATAGAACCTTCTAGAATATTCTCTAGAGCTGGCCGAATGCATGAAATACTGAATTGAAACGATATCTTAACAATAAAAATGTGTAATTAGTTCTACTCTCTGGGGTCCGCGTGGACCCCAAATGATGAAAACACGTTGGTGCGTACTTCTAGCTCTTTTATCATATTGACGATGTCAGAATCGAAGGCAATAATATAATCGATATATCCTTCTGACTTTCGTTAGTATGCATATCTAGAAGATGAGAGGTTGATCTATTACTGTTGAGGAAAGAGAAGCATAATATTCGATCTGGGGTCCGCTCGGACCCCAGGTGGTGAAATGAGGGTTAATTGCGAATTAAATTTCAGATAAAACCGGCTACTTTTATTCGTTGTTTTTGAAGTATCGTTCAGTAGTTCCGAGGGTTCCTTTTAAGGTCAATCGATAGAGAATTGAATTCTCTACAAAACCTGTAATTTTAATCTCTGACAGCGTTTTTCCCGTTTGAGCACCATTCAATATTTTCGAACTGCGACCCACACTGAAAATAGAAAAACATTTGCCTTGATCCAAAAACAGATTCGATAAGAATTTTGAAAATATCAGAGGATTCACAAGAAAAATCTGCATGTTCTCGCATATTTTTCGAAATTTTGCAGCTCACTTTTCTAAGAAAATTTCTCCACGCAAAAAACTGATAAATCGAAAACAGCCTAACTTCTGAACGTATTCTCACAGGTTTTAGTTTCTTGGCTAGAAAAGCAGTAAAACGTTTTGAATCCAGCGTTTTAGACTTACCATCTTACACAGAATTAAATTCTGCATTTTTTGATATATAAAGAAAGTTTCTCAGTTCATATCATTAATTAAAAGAATTAATTTAATTTGAAAAAATTGAAAAGCCGGTTGAGAACTAATTTTGACTCCAGCTGACGTAGCGAAAACATTATATGAAGTTGTATATCAGTGAGATCGATAGAGCACAAAATTTTCTATCTTTCTACCTAAAAACTTAACTGTTGAACCTCCGACAATGGGATAAAAATCTTAAAGAAGAAAATGTCAAAAGCACGTCGCGGTTCGACAACTCAGCACCATTCGAAATATGGTTGGTGCTCAAACGGGAAAAACGCTGTCAGAGATTAAAATTACAGGTTTTGTAGAGAATTCAATTCTCTATCGATTGACCTTAAAAAGAACCTTTGGAACTACTGGACCTCTTCTACTGGATCACCTTCAAAAACAACGAACAAAAGTGGCCGATTTTATCTGAAGTTTAATCCACAATTAATTACGAATCAACCTGATATTTTCCATCATTTCTATATCTACTTTAGGTAACTGGTACTTACGCAAAAAGTAATCCTAATCAGCGAAGTCGAAATAACAGCGAATATATCCCGCTGACCGTTCTTATATCTTTAATTATATCTCTTCGTGATTTTTGCCAATACTTATTGAAATTTAATAGATCCTAATGCATGGAACAAGTTTAGTTCTGTTTAAAACATATCTCATCGTGCTTCTGGACCGTAATGGAAAAGTTTCTGCAGCTGAATAAAAATTGGATTAATGCACCTGGATTCTCATTGAGTCAAATGAATAATTATAACTCATATGATTTCTTGTGTCTTATGTAGGCGCAAGTAACTTTTATTATTACATAGATAACAGTGTCTAAGCTTAGTGTCATTATTATTTCATTACGTTCTCCGATATGCTCAGAAATTAAAAGACCATTAAAATATTGGAGAAGAAGAGGAAACCATTCTCGTAGGATTACTTTATTTGTATGAGTAGCTCATAAAATCCGAAAAATGATAAGGTTTAGCATGAACTGTATCTGTTTATCTTTTTTGAAAACAAGTTAACGGCCTCAAATACACGAAAAAACGTGACGCACGTTGTTATATACGTGTAGAAAAAGCTAGACATCAGAAAAGACGAGGAAAAAAGAAACAAAGTGGAAGGACGAGAAATGTAAGAAAAGGGCAAGAAGAAGTTACATGTCGAAGACAATATGATCTAGTGCTATCAACATAGATTATAACAGATAAGTCGCATTTTCCGTAAGCAAGACTTTTAAATCAAAGATGACATGATCTAGATAAGGATGTTCAAAAATATAGTGAATTCTCCCGCTAAAGACCAACCAACCCTCTATATATATACGTCTCTTTACATATGATATGTTAACTTCTCAAAATAAAGTCGCAGATCTGTATAACTATCGGAACTAAAACGTTTTCTATACGTACTTTATATTAGTTATTTGATTCAGAAATAATGAGTAGAACATTTTAATAACCCGAACAATCAAATATAAGAGAAAAATTAATGAAGATTTGTGTATCGTCTACAACGCAATGTACATTGATATTATTATCCTATTTTTGACTTTTAACATCTTAGATATTGAGATGGCAAATTGGACAATACAGCAAGTCACCGAATGGCTAAAAAATAATGGTTTTGAAAAGCACATCGTGACATTCACTGGTAAGTACTATTTATCCTTTAATAAACAACAAATGAGTATCTAAAGTATTTCAACATATTTCATTGTTATTCATAAACTATCTGTCAAATACCTTTAAAGTTTTAATCCCATCGATGTTCTCTACCAATTATTCATGAACTGCACTTCATGTGGTTCGGTTTGTCTGAATCAAGTTCCCATCTATAATAATTCATCGCACATCGCTACATTTCTTAATGTACAATGAAGTAAAATCAACTATATTAAAGTAAAATGAAGTCCAATTACTATAGGACCGCCAGAGCAGAGTTATAATCGGTATATCGGTGGCAATTCTGTGACGGAGGATGCAACTTAAGTTGAAATAAATCAAAAATATATTAACATATTTTTAAAGTACAGTTGGAAAAATGGCTAGGCCATCAGGGGCACTACTAATTATTTTGACGGTATTTACACTTTATCCACAGTAAGTGACAATTACTATCTATAAAAATATTCGTTGAATTTCTTCCAGAGTATTTATCACGCCCTTATTTTGAAAAGATGATGTTAAAAGATTTACTTAAGATGCTAAATAAACACACACTAGATGCTTTCAATGTTGAAAAACAGAAAAGAACAAAATCTACAAAACTGTGCATTCAGATAATCTAGATTCGGAGATTGTTCCGAATACTTTTGAGTTTGCGATGTTTAGTTTAGTAGAAAAAACCCTGTTTGTCATATTTTTGTGGCATTTCGCCGTAATACATTCAAACATAGAAGACAGTGTTTTTCCCATAAGTTGTAGCCATTTCCGCTCTTCAATTTCTTTTCTATTTGTCTGTTTCATTTTTGTAAATGATGTAATGATGTAAGATCAAAAAATCAAATCTTGGTCATTTTTAAAAACTGGATACTCTTAGAAAAAGTGTGATTGATTTTTCATGAGAAATAGATGCGAGATTCGTGACCAACGTGGAAAATTACCAACAACCTTGTTTGTTATTCTAAAATATTTGTCATCGATCATTCATTGTCTAAGAGAAGACATAGAACCGATCTGAGAGATAAAAGCTGAAGATAAATAAATAAAAATATTGATCAGAAATATTTTATAATATAAAAATAGAAGAAGGATTTTAGTATATTTTTTTATATCGATTTCGAGTCTCATTTTTAGTTTCCATAGAAATTTCTTCGACAATACAAATCTCAACATATCATCCATTATTTCGAATATTCAATGAAAATAATTCTTCATTAAAAATATTGATTTTCTAAAAAATCTTCGAAATCTACCTTAGAAATTTCACATCGCCACACTATTCAAGTGAAAAAAGATAGTTGGATGAGCAGAAACAATGGAGATTGGTATAGATGTGAATTTCTTTCGAAACCATCCTAGTTTCCGATGCTTTTAGAACTGTGCATTTTTGGTCAACTGATTTGAGTATCTTCCATTTGATTATTTTACTACGGGACATCCAAAAATCTTTTTGGTACAAAACACCAAAACCAGCGTGAGATAATAAATGATAGCGTTTCCCAGCAATGAATATTTCTACTGTGATTTCATTTCGGTATTTAAGCATATCTTTTAAGTTAGAATTTCGAGAGTTCCGGAAAATTACATAAAGACTTTTCGAGTGGATAGTCTAAAAAAGATGAAAAAAAATATTGGCAAAATATGGGAAATGATATTTTGCCTAGTCTGACTACTGTCTCGAACCACGAGTTTTGGTCTCTTTCTTTATCAGTTTGGTATTAAATATTTTCTATATTTCTACCTTATATATTTATATTAGATCAAGAAATCGATGGCGAGGCTTTGATGCGTTTATCGAATGAAGACATTGAAGAATTACTCTCTGAAACAAATTCAGATGGAACGATAAAAAGGTCAAACATTGGAACAAAGCGAAAATTCTTCGGACGGTTGGAAGATTTGAAGAAATCTGAACATGATGTACAGCCACCTTCGAAACCAAAAAACGAAACGAGTAATTAAAAATCATCACATTTTTTTTTCAAACAAGATAGCCACTATTAACTCGTATGTTCATGATGAGCACATTTTCATCAAAACTAATTAATTGACATTGGCTGCACTAATATTTTCATAAACGAAAAGTTAAATGAGTCACTGTTGTTTGATATGAATCGAATTTGTATTATCCAATAATAAGTAAATTACTTTAACAGTTAAATCGCAACAGTTTACATTATAGTTAAATGATCACATGAGATCGCGTGAGTAAGCATTCGAATTCACTTTTATTTGTGAAAACAGTTACGATTCATTTTTAATCTCCGTTTTTTAATTAGATGCAGCGTGAACAAAAAGATTCGGTGTGCGGAAAAAAATTCTAATATTTGTCTGACTTTTTTGACGCAGCGCGGTTTGTTTTGTACTACTCAGAATTATTATAGTTTACACTTTATAGCAAGTAAAATTCTAATCTGACCTTAATCTCAATCGTTTGACTTATACAAAAGATAGAGGATCTCAAGTACAAAAACTAAACAACAACTTGAGACTGAATAATTGACATAGTGAAAACTTTTAGGGCAAAGAAAATAATGTTTATCAGTATTGAATAGCGAAAAAACACATTTGAAGTTCGTTTTCAGCTGAATTTTGCAACAAAATGGTGTGTTAATTGTGCACCATTCGAGTGAACTGCCCTTTTGTTGATGATTAAGTTCAGTACTTCCGATACCTCATCTTTGATAAAAGTTTCAAGACAAATGACTAAAACTAAGGTAGGGTTCCAACTTGCTGCTTTCAATGGAAATCTGCCTCAAAAATCTCGTGTAAACCGAGAGGAATCCATTTATTTCGAAAGACTGACATGAATAGTAGAGCATTCTAAGTCTAGCAAATCATTTTTCCACTTATCGACTGTTTTCCCTAACTTAACGACTCACTAGAAGATAAAAATCAATAAAAATCTTCCAGAAAATAGCAGAAACTCCATGGATTCGTTCGTGTGCTGTTTTTCTTGCAGTGAAAAGGTCATACTGTCACAACTGAACAACATTCTAGGTAGCCAACCTTTCAGATAGTTTTTTATTTTTCAAGACTTCAGTCCATAATGAAATGACTTCCTATACGTACTTTATTAGACAAAACAATATTTCGATGTTTCCTATCCCTCAAAATCCGAGAAAACAGAATGTTTAACGTATGAATAATAATCTATAATTTTATTTATTTAAGAAAAATCAATGCCTACCGGCACGATTCAGCCTTTGATAAAACAACAACTTGATATAAAATTCATACAATATAAAGCATATGCACTTGCTATGGGAAGAACAGGAGTTGGAAAAACGACGTTGGTTAATGGACTTTGTGGAACAAAGCATGAAGCAGGTTCAGGACACGGAAGTAAAACACGAAATCTATTTCGTAATGATACTAACATTGGTGAAGGACAACTTGCTTTAATTGACACACCTGGAACCGATAGTACAACCGAAGCATATCGTCATGCACATTTGTTACGAACGGCTCTGATAACAGGGAATATTAACACAATTTTTATTGTCATTAAATATGATAGTCGATATGATAAAATGGTGATAAATTATCGCGAAGTTGAGATTCCGGTTCGCAGATATCGTTATAAAATAGTAATCATAGTCTCATACTGGGACATTTCCGAAAGACCGAAACAAGATTTTGAAGGAATTTGCAATGAATTCAAAAAGAATGGTATAAACTGTAATATTATTTTTTATTCGAATAAAAGTGCGCTTGAAACAATGGTAAACTTGATGTATAGTTGTGTATCTAACATGGACGAAGAAAGATTGGAAATCAATGATAATGACTTTTATCTCAACTTCAACTTAATGGATATCAAACTAGAAATCGAAGAGTCTTCAAGGGAATTTGCACGTGACGCACTATCACTATGCGAAGAATTTAAACAAACTGCTATGCGTGTTCATCACGAATCTGTTCCAGACGGTGATGAAATTTTGCATATGCTCATCGTGGAATTCGAACGTGAAATGGATCAGTTGTTAAAAAAATTTACAGATAAGCATGGGAATTCAATGGCAACAACAGATGACTACATATCTTATATAAATATGCAAAAGAAAACTGTTGAGTTCTGTGATATATTCGTGAAAACGGTGAGACCTTTGATGTCTTACAATCTCTGTGATATTCAGGATCCTAGAAATTTGATTAAACGATGTCCAAACTGTAATTTAATTTGGTTCAAAGCAGAAGGTTGTGACGGAACAACAGACTGTGGTAACAATAACTTTAGCAATCGTTTTGATGTTAGTAAAAGATCTCACCACAAATTTCAGCTGAAACGAATCAATGGAAAACTTCAATGGGAAAAATTATCGAACGTGGTAGAACCATCCAAATATTTCATCGAAGCGCCTGAAATGCGTGAAATGCCAAATGCAAGCGTGAATGCGCCCCACGATCAGCAATTTTCCGACAACGATATGTCAAGCGCAGAAGGTCTTGTGTTCAACCACATGATGGATGAGAACGAACTGCAGGTCGAAGTACCAAACGATGGTAATAACCTAGTCGAGACCAAATCGCATAGGAAACGGATGGGTTGTGGAACTAGTTTCGTATGGAAAAATCTTCCAAAAATAGAAGATGAGCTGATTTTACAGTTGCTTACAGTAAAAACCATGGAACTCGCAAAACAAAAAATAAGTGAAGAATATTTTACACATATGTGCACAAATCGCAATAAAAACATTGACTCTATTTTTCATTCTTAAAAAGTAATTCCACTTATAATGAAGGCACTAAACCAGAATGTGCATGCATACATGACGACGAAGTTCATTTTGACACTTTTTCTCTGTTTACTGTGTTTATACGAGATTGCAAGGGTTTCTTGCATTTATATAAAACAATAAAATGTTGATTACTTATATCGTATAAATATTCATTGTGGCTGAAAATCTGCCTCGATCATACGCAAAAATGGGCACTACGCCACATGATACATGATGCTAAAAATAGCTATCATTGTTGCGTCACCGACATTACAAAGATAAAACGGATTAATAAAGTTAGTTTGATAATCTCATTTTCATGAGGTATTAGAGTTCCGAATGAAATTTTTTTGTGTTATCAAATGATCATGATTCAGCTTGACAAGACTTCCCTAGTGAAAATACTCATCAAGCGAGTACGACTTTCCAGTGTGAGTACTCATACTACTCACGCGAGTACTCGTGGAATTTGTATTTACACTCGTCGTGTATTAATGGCAATCAAGAGTCAAAGAGGTTGATGATTTATTATAATTTATTTTTGCAACACAACAAAATATTTGTGTTGCAAAATGTTGTTGCTGTTAAAGTATAACTAAATTTATAAATATTATAAAATAGTGGATCTTCTTTTTTATGGGGTAAGACCATCGAGCTGGAAAGTCACGGTACATAGTAAAATCACATGAAACAAAAGATAAATCCTTTTAAAAATCCTGAAAAAATTTAGCATTCATTCAGCGAACTATGATTCAAAAATAATTTTTTTCAATACAATAAACATATTCTTTTTTATTATTCCCAATCGACTTTATGTTTCATTATAAAACGACATCTTCCTCCGCAGAGAATATTATCTGTAAAGAAAACAGATAATATTATTAATTAAGTCATCATATTACTTTTTAAAAGAATTTCCTATTATTAGATTTCCTATTATTAACATAAATAATAATAACATAAAAATCATATTTTTTCTATTAAATTTTACTAACATATAAAAATTAATAAAAGAAAATATAACTACAATAGCAAAAAAAAAGGTCAGGTACTTAACTTTAACAAATGAAAAGAATTTATGATGTTTCAACTATTCTTTAGCCTAAAAAAGTAAAACTTTAAATAAGCTATATTAATAACTACTAAAATCTAATAAAGAAACAGATTCAACTACAATAGGTATAAATGAATGATTAAACCTACAAATCTCAGAACATTGACCATGAATAACCGAATTTAATAAAGTACTGAAATTAAATTGGTTCAAACGCCCAGGAACAGCATCTATCTTAACACCTAAAGAAGGTAAAACTCAAGAATGTAAAGCATCATTAAATGTAATTAAAGCACGAATAAATTCTTGAGATGGTAATCAAACACGATCCACATCTAATAAACGAACTACGCTATCAGGATCAATGTATGAATCATACTCAAACTCCACATTACTATCAATCTCATATCTTCAATATCACTGATGACTGATAATTTTTAAAGTACAAAGAAAATTAGTTCTGTTCTTATCAATTAAATACAGTAAATAAATAAAAACGGGTAAACTAATAAAATCAAAACTACAATCGGTAAAGTAGTTCAAATACTTTCAATTAAATGATTAGCAACAATATTAGAAGAGTACTCCTTTCTAAAAAGAGAATAAACCAATAAATAACCTACTAGAACTAAAATTATAATTACAATCATTATTAAATAATCATGAAAATAAATAATTTGCTCTAAAGTTATATTTAAAGCATCCTGAAAATTTAAATTCCCTTAAAATATCATCTATATAAACTTTCTAGTTTATACACTATGTTACGACTTACTTTATTATAAAGCTGACGGGCGATATCTAATTTTAAAAAATAATTCAAATAACTATATTTACTAACAAATTCATCTTTCTTTTAAGTTAGTAATATAAATAGTGCAACTCATACACCCAAAAAATGTTGATGTGTATCTGAATCAAAATAATTTTACGCTTTGTCATCAAACATAAAAAATTAAGCATTTTTAGTTATAAAATTAGTGGGAAATCTAATTAAGATACAAGTTTCTTTATTTAATTTAAACCGCCAATTATATAACTTTTTAACCATTACTACCTATTTGATTAACAGGGTCTCTAATCCTGCTCATCTAACATTCTATAACTAATAAAACTAAATTTCACCTAAAATTTAATAATAAATATAAATATAAATATGTAAATTAACAATATTATTCATATAACCGCTGATGCTGGCATGCTATTAACTAAAATAAAATAAAATCATTTATATCTCGTTTTATAGTACAATAAAATAATCACAGAGCTAAGTGGGGCGATTCGGTAAGAGTTTCGACTACTCCGTACTAATTCATCAACATCTGGATGGATTTTGAAGATTTTTGCGCGCGAGTTTGCAGACGAGTAGATGAGTATCTGCTCTACCTACTTGGTTAAAATCTGCTGGAAAACTGGTCAGTTGAGCTATCTGTAGGAGGTTTATCGATTCGCTTCATGCCTATTCCTAATTCATCCCAATGTGGCGATTCGGTAAATTACTATAGACTGGGTGGGACGAATGAGGGTGTCCAAGCATTTTCTCGATCAGAGTAAAAATGCAATTATCTTTTTGATATTTATTGATTTTGGATTACTTTTTGGTACCATTCGATTTGTCTCGTCATGATAAACACAGTGTATCAAATCTTAAAAAAGAATAATTAGAAACACCTGAGAATGAGTTAGAACAAGAGCGAAGTGTAATAATAGCAAATTCCAACTCGTTACGTAGACATCGCTGGGACGATTTGGTAATCTTTACTAAAATCAACAACAATTCTCCAAAAAACTAAAATCTAAGTATAAGCTCATATAGAAAAGCTCATTTAAATATGTGTTCTGTATTAAGCGTGTAACGCGGGGAAAGTTACACAGTTTGCATTTTTCCATAGACCAGGCGGACATTTACTATAGAAGCAATCCGAAAGTCTATAAACACTCTTGTATAGGTTTTCAGTTATGCTCTTTCCAATGGTGTGTTTTACAAAGTCCAAAGAGACTTTCATCTGGGTTCTGCAGAGATCGGATCTCTAGAAAACCCACACATAATTATTCTGGAACTATATAAGGCGCATCATTGGAAAGAGCATATCTGAAAACCTATAAAAAAAAGTGTTTATAGACTTTCGGACTGCTTCTACAACAAATATCCAAATCCTTAGTCAAAATAGTGACTTTATGCTTCGAATATAGCGTTTCGTTAAATCCAACAAGTTTTTGCTCAGAAAAACTTACTAATCACATATCACTCGATGCAGTTTCTTGCGCTGATTTTGAATATGTTATTTTTATTGAATAAAAACACTTCTGGGGCGAGAAAAATGGAAAATACCCTCAAAAACTAGTGGTTTTGAGAAAACCTACAGCTCAGGACAGGAAACTTTTCGCTACTTTTCGCTAACTGTGTGCACGTCTTCTATATAGCTCAACATTTCCTGAAACTTTCATCTAAATTGGAGTTTCGATTTTCTTCGCGCATGTACTTTACTGAATGCACTTCGTTGGAACTCGCTAATAAAATGTACAATAACTCTTTTCCATCTTGAAAACTCCTAAACTAGAAATTCTTTTTAGCAATCGATAGAGGACTTGACAAAGATTAAAAATATATATTTATTTGTTTGACTGCTTACCTTACTTTTGCGTTTAATTCAGTTTTCCGACAGTACCTCTTTTTAAGCGTAATTTTTGTCTATATGATTTTCCCAACATAAGTATGCCCTGAGAAAAAAGTTTTTTTGTCATCGAATAGAGCGTGGTCCAAAGTATATAAATCACTATTTGAATTACCGAAAAGCGTACTTTCTATTTTTCACCAAAAGTCCGCCTGGATGCACACTGTGAGGTAGTTCGTCACGCTGTTCATTATGCAGTGCAGGACAATAATCAAAACATGGAAATTGGTCTTCGAATAAACAAAATGACCAAAATTGATCCTTTTCTTAAATTGTCTAGTAAGTTTGTCATGATATACATTCTTTCTATTTTTTTTCGTTCATGTTTTTATACTTATGATTATTCTTCTTTCTTTTACATTATAAGTTCCTGGCACTAATAGATTTTTTTCTGGCTAACCACTGCATCCACCAAAATATTCTTGATTTACATTTGATCTTAGCATCGAACCTCGATCTGAAACCTGAAGTTTTGAAGAAAAAGCAATTTGATCTGCTCAATTCTTATTTGATTTTAGTACCTATAATATCAATAACTAATGACATGTGCCCATTATCAATTTGGAATTCTTTACAATAAATTATAATTGACAAGAAGGATAAAGACTGTTCGTGCTCTTAGACTTACTAGAGTAATTGTCTTAAGCTACGGGTAAGATTTAGATAGTTTTATTCCTTATCAGGAAAATGAGATCAAATACATTAACTTGTTCTTTTCTTTATAACGACGGCCGAACTCTTTTATCCCCTTGCTGTCGTCTGATCAGATCTCGATGCTATATTTCATCATCTTTTGAGCGTTTTATCATTATTTTCTATTACTTTATTTTTTTTGAATATTAGTGACTTTAGTTAATTAACTATTGATAAATTAAATTACCATCAACAATTTGCTGTTCAGCTTTAGAAGTGGTTTTTATTTATTCTTTTAGATAAGTGATATGTCAGCTGTTGCTTCCTCTTCATCTAATACTATCTTCTGTTATGCGAACACTTCAGCCCTTCCCTAGTAAAGACTCCTCCAGGACTTTGATCGGCGTCCGGCGGAATCCGGCAAGACCTTTTTTCTTGTCCACAGGACGTTTGTTCTTTATAGTCGCTCGCTAGTATCACACTGGAAGTCTTCTATTACATGTTAAGGACACCCTGTAGTAGCACGTTAGCCCTCTATAACTTGCTATAACAAAAACAATCTTCAGTTCAGTTTTACACACCAACAACAAATTATTATTATGATAAAATATTTTACAGAAAAACTAATGTACAATGATGAAATAGTAACAGTTAATAATAATATCTAATGGTTGTTGATGATAATAATTGATAATCGGCTTCTCTTCAATTGACGAAATTTGATGAGGAGAAGGAGTGCAGAACGAAATTATAGTAATGCAAATGAAAACACTAAATTATATTTTATAATTTTAAAAGAATACTAAATATAAACTTAATGTGAGATTTAGTTATAAAATTATAGCAGTAGAATTTCTTCTTCCTTTGTATGATAAACGAAGAAGACGACTGATGATGATGATTCCTCTTCTCTTAAAGGGAGAGAAGAAGAAGTAGAAGAAGTTTAGAATTTTTGAAGAAGAATAAAAACTGATATTTTTGATGAAATCTCGACACGAAGATAATGTGTCTCTACATTTCGCGTCACTATGAAACAAAATAATAATAAAAATCAATTATTAACTGATTTCATTCTCTCTATATAAATAGCGCATAGAAGAAGTTTCTGAAACTTTTCAAGCGACAGAGAATAAAAGATGTAACGGCAAGCGGCCGTTACACACCCCTCCCCTCTTTTTGGGCTTTTCGTAGAAATGCTGTGAAACAAAAACTAAAAGTCTCAAGGTCATTCCGCAGAGATGATTTTTGGGAAATTTCTTTAAGGCCTTTCCTGGTCGAGTTATAGGAAAAATACTAAAAACGTCTCAAACGCCAAGTTTTTCAATTTTAGAAACTCTGTAAGTCGGTAAAGAAAAGTCTAAAATAAAATTTCAAAACATTATCTCTGCAATAATGTCTTGAGTATCTCTGGTAAAATTTTGAACTCGATCGGATGAAATTTAAGGTGGGCCATAATGTGGCACAATGAAGCTTAGTAGCAAAAAAATAGTTTTCGAGAAAAAAAACATTTTCTACATAGGTCGCTTTTTTTGAAGCATTTGCCGCGATGCTTATATGTCCACGAAAACTCATCGAAAAATCCTGTAAAACGTCTCATTATGAAGAAAACACTTTCTTCTATCAGACTATGTGTAAGAAAAATTTTGTATGTACGGAAAATGAGAGAAAAGTTTATGAAACTAAAAAACTGAGCTTTTTTAGGCTTTGAAGGAAAAACTTCAAAAATCCATAACTTTTTGAAAAAAGATCGTGGAGTGAAAAGACACTCAAGTGCCCTTTCAAAATCTAGAGTGCTACTGACACTTTGTTTCTGCTTGGATCATCATGGAAAGAACTAAAACTAAAATCCATCACTTTTAAACACATTCGCAGTTAATATCATGCATTACGTATACGTAATAAAGCTTTTGAATCTAAAAAGCGCAATCACAATTCGGTAGCGTCTACAGAAAATATTAAAAGGTGGAGTAAAGTAAGTTATCAGCAAAAAGCAAAATGTGCTTATGACTGGGATGATGACACCACATTGAAGTTTTTCTGGAAATCAAGGTTTGGAGAAAGTTGATTGAGCACGATCATGACTTATTTGTCGTGGCTTGTCTGCAATGGCTCTTACGTTTTAGCGTAAAAAAATTGCTTTTTGAATGAAAAATCTTCAAAATACTAGTAGGATGTCAAATTTCGAAAATGCTTTATTAGAACAGCCATTAAACGAGTTTTAAAAGTATGATTCGCTTTTTTTTGTGTTGCTTTATTACTGACAAAATACGTTTTTTCCGAATCAGGAACGAAAAAATCGAAATTCTTCTAGTAATGCTCTATTTTCTCCAAAGAACTCACTTTTCATGCACTACAAATATCACATTCAGAGTCAGCGTCGAAAACTGAGTCGAACGACTGATGTTCATTTTTTTGTGAAAATCTCACAAAATCAGTAAAATTCGAGAAAAACGAAAGTGGTCGGATAGGATAAAAAAGGTACCTCAGTCGACTCAGTTTTCGACGCTGACTCTGAATGTGATATTTGTGCTGCATAAAAAGTGAGTTTTTGTGGAAAAAACAGAACATTACGGGCAAAATTCCCTTGTTTTCACTCGTGATTCACAAAAAAACGTATTTTCTCAGTAATAAAGTAAACCAAAAAAAAAGTGAATCATCCTTTTAAAGCTCGTTTAACCCTAGTAGTATCAAGACTTTTTTTTTAACACACAGACATTCGAAATACAATAGCTATCGTGGGCTATCCTGTGGTGAAGGAAGAGATACACGAAGCAAATGAAACTCTGCATTTTTTTATCTGAAAAAAAGGATAAAATACTCACTGGCAACAACATAAAAGAAAAAAAAATATATGTATATATAACAATGACCCTAACATCGAATTAAGAATAGAAAAAAAAGTGACAAAATATTCCCACTATATTTTCAAATTTTTCGGTATCGGTCAGAAATGACCCATTTGGTACTACTGGGGTTAATGGCAATTCTAATGAAATAAAAATGTTGACTTCATATCTTCACAAAAATAATCGGATAGCTTTGTAAATTTGTTTAGGAACTTTTTATACGCATGCTGAGTAGACCTTTGACTTCAACCTCGATCTAGTATTGTTATCACACTCAGTTTTTAATGTAGAATACGAAAAAAATACTGTCGTAGAGTTAGAAGGACGAAAAAGAAAAAAATTTGAATGTTTTTGAAAATAGAGACCCTACGGGTATTTCGAAGATTTTTCATTCAAAAAGCAATTTTTTAAAGCTAAAACGTAGATATTCTTGATTAACTCGTCGAGTTCTATCGATTCATGTATAATATAGGCAAGAAATAAAATCTTAGCATCATTTAAACTTTGAATTGGATGCGCCTTACATGTAAAATTAGAAATTTATCAACAGCTATTAATATAGAACAATTTTCAGAAATTCCAGATGAAGAAGTTTCAGTTTTACTTTATTCAGCATTTATAGTAAAAAAAACTTATTAAACAAGAAAATAGTGCTGCTAATGAAAGTTCTTTTCACTTCGTTATTGAGCTAGAAGCTGAAGCTGAAGATACACATGCTAATTTATGTTATTCTGATTTTAAGACGAATAGAATATAGCTGAAAGAGAGTATAAGCGGAACACTATAGATGAACTACAGAACTAAAACATAGATATTCTTGATCAGCTCATCGACCTCTCTCGATTTTGCGTATAATACAGTAAAAAATAAAATAGTGCTTAAAATATGAATTGGGTGCTCCTTACACAAAGTCATGAATTCAAGATCGTTTTCATACTCTACATGTATTTTTCAATTCCTCATCTCTCTGCATATATTTTACTATATGTGATCCACTCCATCTACCTATCTTTGACCAGTCGCAGAATGTTAAGTGCCTACGCAAACGATCTATATTGCTGCATACGAGATTCATCCTTCGTCACACAGAACACCAAAAACCGCTGGAAACTAAAAACTTTTTGAAGACTTCCTACAGATTTTTCGATAGTACCATTGCATTCTCCATCTGAAATTTTCTATGATCCATTAGCTCGAACCGTACAAACCGATCCTATTAGAAGTTATTCCGTTAATATGTTTCGTGCTAAGAAATAGACATTTTTTTGCAAAAACCGTAAGTGGCATCAAGTAAAATCTGTGTTCGAATCCTGCAAATATATCACATTAATTTATTCCTTTGCCTGTTAGGCAAAGAAAAGAAGTTAAGCTTCTTTCACGTGTAAATAAATCGTTTCTTTCTGTCAACAGGCGACATCATCTTTTCTCTTTTTCTATTGGTTCATTAGCTGGTCAAACAAAAAACAAGGATCGCTAACTACACACAAGCAGACATTATTTGTTTCTAAACCTTTCCTTCTAGTAAGGACCCTCTTTTTCGATAAATAGATGTGAAATTCAACCTCAAAAGACTTGTGAGATAAAGATAAGATAAGACTGTTTTATTCACGAAAAGTGAGAGTCATCAAAGGTCACCGACCTGTGACAGCAATGAGTCAAGCCAAACAACACAAAAAGAGTAATAAAACAGGAGAAAATAAACAAAACAACTAAAGTTAGAACCAGAAATAGTAAAAAAAGAACAAATTTTTAGAAAAAATTAAAAAAGAACATAAATTCTTAACTGACAAACGTTTCACTAGAGACTGTAGTAAGGCTGTTTTGAAAGATGTTAAAGAAGAAAGACGAATAACTGACTCTTGTAGATTATTTCAGTCAGCAATAGTTGAATAAATAAAAGAAGAATGTGGAGAAAAACCATCAACAGAAGATGGAATACGAACATATTTAGAGTGATGAAGACGTAAACATGAGTAGTGAGGACGATAAATAATATAAAAAAGAGAAACAGGGCTTAGACGATGATAAATTGCAAAACCGTAAGTGGCATCAACACAAAATCTCTGTTCGAATCCTGCAAATATATCACATTAACTTATTCCTTTGCCTAACTTCCTTCACGTGTAAATGAATCTTTTCTTTCGGTCAACAAGCAACATCATTCTTGATGTTGCTTGATGATGCTTTTCAAATTAAAAGGTCTTCAAAGAAATCATCTTTCAATATTTCGATTTATTTCTGTTTGCCGAAAAAAGTTTGTAGGCAAACGTTGGAGCGATGACTGACTTACAATATGCTTTGGATGTCAGATCAGTTTTACATTTTTTAGACGCTCCCTTTCAGTAAGCGAATAAAAAGTAACAATAACAATGCCGCATCCTCTCGTTCGTAAATTAGTACCGATCGTTAATTTTGCAATAGCAAGTGCAGCATTAGCATTTCAAGTGACGGTTTTATATCCGTGGCATCATGAACTTGAACGAAAATTTGAAGAATTGCAAATACAACAAGAAACAAAATTAGAAGAATATCATCAAATGAAAATGCAAACAATTAGATCAATTGAAGAACATATTACAGAACTGAAAAATAAAAAAGATGAAATATCGAAAAAATAAACGCAACAATCATGTGATGATTAATGTTTTTTCATTTTTTTTACACATCACTGATACCGTGTAGTTTTCTCTCTTTACTGTAAGCTCTCCACAAAACAAAAAAAATATCTGTAGATATGTAGACTATGCATGTAGGTTTTGTCTACAGAACGAAAGGAAAAAATTCAGAGATACAGCAACGAAAGAAAATAGTAAAATATCGGGGTAGACATCGGACTTTTGAGCAAATTAACTCAAATCAGCGCCAGAATGTGAGGAATGATATTCTTGACTGCTACACACACAAAACGGAGACGATTGGCAAAATATGAGTTCTGGTATGACGGTAGGACCGAAAATATATGTAACGCGATAGTCGTATACAAATTCGACAAAAAGTATTGTACTCCAGATACTCAGGCTTTTGCAACTGACGTTGTAGACCTTGTTTAGAGATAGGGAAAAAGCTAAGTAAATTCGTGAATTTTTTCTCCTCAACTTTAGCTAGTACTTCCACTTATAGTTTCTACTTTATCCCAGATATTTGCTTATGGATTTTTTTCATTTTAGGAGCAAAAGCATCGAGGAGGACGAAGCGAGAAGTAGAAAATTGGTACTTTATCAGTAAACTTATAGGTCTCTACGCGACTCTTGCATGCCACTTTTGACCAAAAATCGGAGTGTATCATCACAACCTTACTTGTCGATTCACAAGCCTTTTGAGATGTAAATTTCAAGAAATCTATTTGCAGAGAAAAAAGTTGATTTACGACTCATTAACCTCCTCTAAGAATTCATGAACGAGTGCACTTTTTGCAATTGGGAGTTAGATCAAATCTCTGTTTGTGGCTATTCTACCTCATATAGTTTGATTAATCGTCGCTGATCAGCGAGTAGTAATACAGAAAATAATACTGTCGCTTGCTGATAGGAAGAAAAAAATTGATGGCTCGAGCATTTGAATAGTGATCTACGTATGTCTGAGATAAGACCTTTGATGACAGATCTGCCTTTTTTATTCTCATTTTTGCCGCATTTGTTGTGTTTTTGGACAAGAGTAGGGATGAGATATTGCTGTTACTCATGAATTACATTACTGAGGAAAGTAATACTGAAAAGTAGGGATGGTCAGTTCTCGTTAAGAACCGGAACCGCGGTTTTGTAGACGATTCCTTTTTTTTTGGAACCGAGACCTTTTTAACCATAGATAACTTACCACAGTTTTATTTCGCGAAAGCTATATTTAGCGTTCATAACGTATACTTGTGCGCAACTTCTTTTACATGAGATCTTCTAGACCTGGCGAACCCATCGACTCTTATTAGATAAGAGATAAAGCCCATATTATTATGTCTTTATACTGGCCGTAACTTCTGGTCTTGAAACTGTTAATATCAGATGATAGAAAAGTACAGCATTGAACGAAAAAGAACGAGTGTGAACGGACGATCACATTTGTATTTCTTTATGAAGTGCAAAAAAAATAATAATTCATTCTTTTCTCTTCTGCCTTATCTTTCTGTCTTGCCTTTCTTTTTACAAAATGCAAACATACTATTGATAAAGCTGCAAAAAGATATATTTGCCTGCCGTTATTTAAAAGAATCCTTTGGTTTACAATAAGGTGATTTTTATTTTGAATTTGTTACTACCTGAAAAATTCTTCTCTGCCTCTAAGCTGAGAATAGAGAACTGGGGTTCTGTTCTAAGTCGGCAACCGGAACCGCGGTTTTTTTCGTTTCGGTTCTAAGTTGAGAACCGTATCCGTACTATCTGTACGGAACTTTTCACAAGCGGAAACAACTTTTGAAAAAATTTCAAAGATCTGGTTTCCAGAGAACCTTTGGAAAACCAGCTCCGTTCTCCGAAAACTAACATACAATGTTAGTAATCTTTTTGCATGCGTAGATAGTCCGGACGCTACTCTACAAAATTATGCAAGTCTCAGCTCCCTAGCTGTCGTCGTTCGAACAGGGCTCTGTCAAGGTCCATAGTGGGTAGTGATTAGAAAGTCCCGTGCTCTTTCGGCTGACAAAATTCGAGGAAAGACGTGTGCACGAAAAGTGTACTTTATTGAATAATAAAAATGAAAAACGTGTATGTATCTAGCACTGTACAAAACTAGACTGACGCGAAATCAAATAAAGAAAAAGAAAACTGGACAGACGAAGAATAAGAAAAATCACGCGGCTAATACACAAAGATATGGAAAAATAAGAATCGAGGTTTATGATCTGACAAGGTCATAATAGGCTCGGTTTCCCCGAGCACGTGTCTATTTCTGAGCAGGTATCTCTCGAAATGCCATGGAATATAGGTAATCGACTACACTGAGCATAGTGGCAACATTTGTTTTTTGTGCAGAAATGAAAATAACTTCGCCAGAGGCATTTTTGTGAAAAACTGGTTTTTCGCCTGTTACTAGCAAAAATTAAAATCCTTATATCTCGATCAAATCTCATGCTGACTCAAGGAAATTTGCAGGAAACGCTTAGAATAGCTCATAAAATATAATCGAGGACGACAAAGGTGACTTTCGGCCGGGCATTGGCTTAAGGTTTTCCAGAAACCTTCTGAAAAACCTCAAAGGATCAGTGTTCTGCTCGACCACTTTTTCGACGTGATCAACAGTATATCGCACCTGTTGAGTCTTTCCTGAAAATTTCCTTGAGTCAGCATGAGATTTGATCGAGATATCTGTCTCATTCCTATCAGAAGTTGTTCGAAAAATAGCCAGGGACGCTGCTTTTTGATACGAATAGTAGTTAATACATTCTAGTAAAGTTTTATTATTTTTAAAAATAACAGTTCTATGAATGCGACTCACAAGTCATCAGAATAAACGACCGTTGTGGTCACTTACTAGCGAGAAAAGATTTGCGAGCAAGTAAAAGCAACTTAATCATAACAGAAATCGTAAAAACCGACTCATAAGCTGCCTTCTGAAGGACGCTCCAGAAGTTTTGGGCCTTCTGGAAAAAACTTTTTGTTCTTTCTTACTGTCGATATAGAAAGTTGAACTAGTCCTATAAAAATTTACAGTCAAAATCATCCAGTTGTAAGCGATTAAATATTAAAGTTGGAGCTTTTCTTGATTCATAGTAAGAAACAAAAAGACTTTTTCCAGAGCGCCCAAAACTTGTGGATCATCCTTAGTAGATATAAATAACATAAGAAGTTTTGATCCTTCTTATATTTTTCTTACGAACCTCTAATGAAAATCTTATCAGATTCTTATAAGACACTTACGACTGTCGATGGGAAATCATAAACAATCTTATATATCAGTTTTATCAAAATGTTTTTGTCTAGAGCAGTATCGCTTAACGGCTAGTCTCTTTTCTTTAACGTCAGTTGATCCACTGAGCTAACAAAGAAAAAAATACTTTCTGACCGATGAAAATAGGCTACTATGCAAGTCGAATGTATTATCTCAAAAAAAAATCTGTACATTTTTATTGTAATAAATCATGTTGTAGAAAAGACATCAACGAATCATATATTAGAATCGAGGCTTCATTACTGTCTGATACAATGTTTTTTCCGAATGCTCAATAAATGAAAAGGTCATTTGTGTGTTATTGGCTTCGATCAAACCAAAACCACCGAGAAGTATCGCACCACCCCAATAGTACTTGAGTGAATCAGCAGGCACATCTTTGGCATGATTGTGATTGTTTTCTACGATATTACCAGCACCAACAACGAAATAATTCATATGTGTTCCATCCAAATCATCAGCCAAATGCTTTAAAAGAAGAATAAGAATAGTATATCGCTACAGCAGAGACGAAGAAAAGATGCTTACTTGAAGACTATGATCATGACCACAGAGATATGCTGTTGCTCGATACTGATGAAGTAATGGACGAAGACGATCAACAAGACATTTAGTCGGACCATGTTCAGCAACTGAATACACGGGAAAATGACCGCTGACTATCAGATATGGAGCACTGAAGACAATAAATAAAAAGAGTAAAATATGAATTATATAAGGTGCTGCTAATCCAAAGTTTCCACAGAATTTTATTTTTCTATGAAACACACATATTCTGATTCACCGGGATGAGAATATTACCCTTTTCGTTCGATTAAAGTGCATCTTCATGGGGGAAAAACTCGAAATGCTGAACATACGTCAAAAATCGAAAGAACACTACCTTGGCGAAAAGCGGTTCTACTTTTTTCCTGTTTTGCTCTAGAGCTCTGACAGTTTCTTTTCCTGAATCCTGGAGTGAAACTGATTCTAAAAATGTGTTTTAGGAATTTTTAGCCCCTTGTCTTCACCTCGACAAAAGATCATCTATAGGAACACATCATAAATGAGTACCTTGCTTTTGAAAACTTTCACAGTTTGTCTATTTATGCCTAAAAAGCTTTTCTATAGTGCATCAGAATCGCCGTCGGGTATACAATAGAACTATGTGTGTAGGTTTTTGAAATTTTTCTAGCTTGCTGAGAAAATTAATTTTTTCAAAACCAGAAACAAAAATTCGAAATTCGTAAAACACATTTTTAGAACCAGTTTCACTCAAGGATTCAGGAAAAGAAACTGTCAGAGCTCTAGAGCAAAACGGGGGGAAAGTAGAACCGCTTTTCGCCAAGGTAATGTTCTTTCGATTTCTGACGTATGTTCAGTATTTCGAGTTTTTCCCCATGATGATGCACTTTAATCGAACTAAAAGGATAATATTCGCATCCCGGTGAATCAGAATGTGTGTGTTTCATAGAAAAATAAAATTCTGTGGAAACTTTGAATTAGCAGCACCTTATATTTGTGATCGTGTACATACGTTGATTGACGAAATTGCTCTTCCACCCATTGCCAATAAGCCTCAGCTACATGATCACTTGCAGGACCTTTCAATGGAGTATGTTCCCAATCGGATAAATTTCCTCCGCCGCAAAGTATGACAGTATCGAGCATGACAAAATCGACTAATTTCGTTTGTTTATCACTTTGCCATAGACTGAATGTATAGAAATAGTCCGGAAATGTCCTATCGAAATAGAAATATATTTTTCAAAATGATAAAAGGGCCAAATGATCGTTTACCATCGTCTTGATATTTTTCCATATTCAATTTGTGCCGAAACATTGCCTTTATGATCGTGATTTCCAGCCAAAACATACCAAGGTGTTTGTAATGACGCAGCCGAAAATACCTGCTCAAATGTATGCTAAAGGAGAAATAAAAAATAAATTATATTTCCCAATAAAAAATAAATCTAACTTGAAATCTTGGATCAGTGACCGATTGTACACCATCAAAATAGAAATTATCACCTAATGCCAACTGAAAACTCGTATTTAACGTTTTGCCCAAATTACCCATGGCAGCAGCTACAGCAACTTCTGACGGAGTTTTGTATGGTGCGAATGGTAAACCACCCCAGTCACCGATAACAAAGAATCGTGTGTTTCCATCATCATTTTTATTTGCCAATACATCATAACGACCTAAAAGAAATATATTAAGACTAGAATATGTATGAAATATGTCAATGAAATCTACCAAAATTGGTTGGAAATGCTACCGATAATTGATAGAAAATGACGAGATGCACTATATAGATAAGAAGCATGTTGCAGATGACGAAAACACGAAAACAGGCCAACAGCGATGTGAGAAGAGATGAAAAAAATGTATATATATATATATATATATAGGTATACCGCGAAAGTAAACACACGAACAGATATACATGCAAAAGAAACGAGCGTCGGTTACAAAGAGTCATATGCATTTAAGATAAGGAAAAAAGAAAAACAACATGAGATTCAAAAGTAACATTTGTTGAAATTTTGTTGAGATATTTATCCTCGGACGAAAAATTTCACAATTGAATCGTATGGAATCCCCTAGGTTCTAATAATAATACCATAGATTTCTATAGTAAATTACGATTTCCCAGAAAAAATCCCAGAAACTCTCAGAGAAATGTTGTCTGGAATTCCAACGTGGTTTTGTGGGATAGATTCCCACGTCGGAGCTTGTCGTATGCCGTAGTGGAAAAATGTTGCATTTTGTTGTGTCTCATGGTAGTAGAAACTTGTTAAACCTTATTTTGTCCTATGTAATTCCACAAGAATTTATCTGGTGTTCGACAAGTTTACTTGGATACTGGCAATCCACTCTCCAAGAGAAAACTGGCGAATGTCTTTCGTGTCTCCATCAGGTTTCGAACAACAGTCTCTCCTGATCTAACCCTGATTTCTAAAATTTTGATTTAGCAACTCTGCTCAAAACGGGGAAAGGTGTCGTTCAAATTTTAAGCATAATTGCCATGCTCAGGTTGTGCAGTTGTGATTTCTCACAAAAGTAGTTAACTAAACTTGATACAACAACATAACATGAAACAAAAGAAAACAAAAAATTCATAGGTTAAGTTTATCGCATTTTCCTGAAACTTTCCTTTGTTCTCGCAACTGGCTAATTTTACAGTTGAAACTACATGGAATTCCAACATAAATTTCTATCTTTCTGCATATTATATGATTTTAAAGCAAAGAGCATATTCAGCCTTATACTAAACAATAAAATAATTTCACGAAACGGCAATGTCTCTGTTGATGAATGCGTCTTCATCAGGTCGCATGTAGAAAAAAAACATGAATGATTAATACGTTTATATTGGGCATTGCTGAAATTTGGAAAAGTTGAACGAATAAGGACTACCAGGCTGTCAGCGATATATAATTAGGATAAGCTTTCTTTTCTAATATTTTTTGCGAACTAAAACAAAGCTGTTCGTGAGTGCATATACTAGAATATACTTATGTAGTTGACCTTTTTTTGAAAAATAGTAGAAGCTGACTATAGCAACGGGAAAGTAATGGCGGCGTGCTGCAACTATTTGCACGTATAAATTTCCTTTTCTTTTTTTGGCACCCTTTGAGTTGAATTTTATAGTGAACATTTGTGGACATTTATGTTTTTTCTGGAAATAAAATGAATGAAACGGACGATGAAAGAAGTAAAGCATGTTTTAATGTGTTCGTTTTTGTCTTTGTCGTGAGATATATCAGAAAAAGTTTCGCATTGAAGAATCGTTTTGCCAAAGACTGCACTGTTTGAAAGGTATAATATACGCGGGTGTGGAGCTTGACTATTTATTAATTAATTAATTATTTCAATATCTTTTCTGAAGAATAAAAAAATAAATAAAATTTTCTGACATCTTTTCTGTCTTTATTTGCTTCCGAGATGCATTATGCTAATTTTCCGAGATCTTCTCTGATTTTATGCATTAAATATTTCAAAAAGAAAGATATTTAACTACCGTATCAAAAGCAGCTTTATTTTTTCATTTCTATTTTTTTCAGGATTAGATCAACTCAAGTTTCTGCTAATTTATATAGTCAACACACTTTTTTGTTGTGAAAGGAATGATGCACATAAAAAAACGTTCTACCTTTAATGCTAACAGAATATTGAATTAGAGAAACGTGATATTCTGTTTTTCTCTATCATTAATCATTCTAGTCTTTAGTCATGTATCCCTCGCTGTCATAATCACTGGTTCATGGAAACCAGGCGAGAATCATATATAGCGTTTACAACAGAAGGATACTAATCTAAAGGAACTAATCGAACTTTGTTGGATTAAGAACTGACGAACGTTTTACTTTTGTTTCGTCGAAATAGCTCAAGTTTGGTAGTATCACTAATAATAATCGAGAGAAAACAATCATGTCTTTAGAACAACCAATATAAAATACGTAAAAAAAGTTTTTTGGTTCGTTACATCTCAGCTTGCATAATAATAATCACAAGAGAGAAAATTATTCCAGCATCTACAGATCCTTTATGATCCTGCTGCTTTGCGTCTTTTTTCCGGTTTTTCCTTTTTTTATCCATAGGGACTTGGGATTTTTGCGGTATTTGATCCGATGAAAAGGAAGTGTCTGGGATGTGAGGGTGATGGTGGTTTTTACCCCGTTAAAAAATGTCACTTTAGGTATTCCAACGTTCCGATTTATAATGTTTTTATATTAAGTATGTGTTAACATCAACGTGCTAAGCTAATCTTCCATTTTAATGACGTGATCATGCAAATCAAAGTTGTTCTTTGTCAGAATAATTACATCTATGATGCAACTACGTTTACAGGTTGAGGTCCGTGTTTTTATGTCATTATGTGCGTCCTGTATTTGTATCGAACGCCGGTCCGATGTCAACAAGAGCGTTCCCAATCTCATTTTCTTTATTTAATGAGATGGGAATGCAGAAATGGAACCAGTGACGACTAACTTACACAACACAGCGACAAAATTGATATGTGAAATATCTATCACTAAGACAATGAAACGTCACAATCGACGTCAAATCCTTGATCGTACAGTTCTTTGATAAATATCTGATAAATTATAATGATATTTCAACAAAATAACCGAATAGTGTGTTTGTTCAAATTATGTTGAAGGTTTAGCTCGGAAAAGACTTTATATTCTGGAAAATTACATATTGTTCACGATGGGGAAAAACACTCAAGTTTTTAATTAATGAAGTTTTTTTATTCAAAATAAAGTTGAGATTCAGCATCTAGATAAAAAGCTGGATCGACCCATATAACATTCGATGAGTTTCACGTTTTTGTTCAATCTTTGCACGTGAAACAAACTCGTACAACATTGTTTTCGTTCTTTTCCTTTCGTTGATATTTTTGCCAATAAAAAAGTAAGTCAAAAATGGATCGCTTATTTCAGGAACTTATTTTCGGCTAAAAGACGACAACCTTGTTCGTGCGTGTGATTCGGTTGTGGATAATCCTCTTCCGTTAGCGCTTTCCTGTCTACACTCAAAAGCGTACAAGCTATTTGTAGGAATAATTACTACAGTCGTGGTCAATCCGTATATACGAACTTGATAAGAGTCGTATAAGGGTCCGATTAGTATTTATGAAAATAATTGATCTATGGACGATGAATAGAAATGTGACTTAACGAAATGTCATCAGTCACTGTTTAATTGTAACGTGTCCATACGGGAATCTCATGTTCATAGGAAGTCTAATGAGTGGTATCAAATTTCGGAAATCTATCTGTTTTTTTCTGTTAGAAGATACAAGTTTAACTTATATCATGTTCAATTCGTCTTTTGGCAAGCAAAAAATGTATAAATCGCTGTTATGCCACGCATTAGGGTCGTATCACAAGGGAGAAGATCATAGTTAAGGTTACGCATATAGTCTAGGGTTATTGCGCAGGAAATATATTCAGGCTTATGGTGCAAGACTATCTCCAAGGTTAATGCATAGAGTCTAGTCAAGATTATTGCGCAATATTGTGTGTATAAATAGATCGATTTTTATTGTTAAAAAGAATCTTTTTTATTTGCAAAATAAACAGTGGTCACGCACATCAGAACAGTCAGACTCTAACATTGGTGCACTAGCCGGATTACTGTCAAGACAACATCATAGTCATAGAATCCGAGCCAAGATTATTAGAAAACAACATGGGTGACATAATGACTGACCAAATTATAACCTATTTATCCCGGAAAACGTTGGAAGCACAAACACCAAAATTTACTGGTAGCAAAGAGGAAAATGTTACCGATTGAGTGAAGACGGTAACAGTGGAATTCAGACTGGCCAGTTTTCTAGATCACTAAAAATTAGAGTGGGTTTCAACATTTCTACGTGGAGAAGCATCAGCATGGTATATTAAGAATATGGCTAAAATTAATTCATGGGAGACATTTACGGAAGGATTCGAGAAAAAATATTCATTAGTCGAAAACAGCATCCAAGCAATTCAGCTGAAGTTACACGCATTCACTTATATTTATTTCACTAACAACACATCAAGTATATTATGATCAGCACAAGTCAATATGACCAACACTTACGCCGACGTTACTGAAGTATGAAGAATTATAATGACTAGAAACAAGGGAACATGGGCTGATTATGAGATAAAACAGCAACGAGAAAAATTTCGAACAATATCAGTAACTGTATGTGGTATATTACATACAGGTACACAATTATCAGCAATATCAGAAAAAGGAGACGAAGAAGAAGACCACATGAATACTTATCAGCCAGTGGAATTACCAAGCGGTGTTACAGGAACTATGGATAGAGAACGCACAATATTATCGTCTAAATTATATGCTATGTTGAACGAATTACATTATAAAAAGCAAGTACAACCATTATCAAAATCTTCGTTGTTATTACAACCCGTTACAAGCCAGATAATACTGGTAGTGGCAGTAGCAGGACATTGGACAATGAGTTAAAGGATTCAACCATTTCTGAACTGTTGATGAACGTGAAAGTACATCCTGTTTCATGGGGGGAGGTGTTATGCCACTCACTAGAGCCATGTCATGAGGGAGAAGATCATAGTTAAGGTTAATGCGCAAGCATATAGTCTAAGTAATTCCGCAAGAACAGATTCGAGGTTATTGCGCAAGACTATTCACTTTTTTCTTATTCTTCGTTCAGAATCCTATTTCGCACTCATCTTAGGACTGACTGACCCATGTCCAAAAGATGTTCACATGAATCCTTTCTCCACTTCAGTGTTCAACGTTCTCATTTGAATAGTTGCTAATACCACTAAGATCGTGTGGATATGCGAGCGTAAAGTTATATCTAACTGTTTTAGTGATGGTCGAGGGGCGGTCAGATTCATACGAACTTCAACTTTCAGCAATTGTATTCACAATTCATTGCGTCTTTCGGAGAGGTCGAGG